GAGAGCATTCAAGGCTCTTGACCCGTCCTGGCTTCTCCTTTACTGCACTTCCTGGGGGAGCGGAGAGCAGTGCAGTCAACCCACTCCATCCAGACTCCGCATCCACAGGCCCAGCTGCCCATGGGTGGAAAATACCGAGAAAAAGTGCATCCGGGCCGGTGCTGCGGCACAGCAGGTTCATCCACTGCCTGCAGTGCTGGCATCCCATATGGGTGCCGGTTCAAGTCCTGGCTGCTCCACTTCCCAACCAGCTCCCTGCTAATGCACCTGGGAAAGCAGCAGAGGATGACCCAAGTGCTTAGGCCCCTGCACCCACATGGAAGACCTGGAAGAAGCTCCTGGCTTCTGGCTTTGGATAGACCCAGCCCCAGCCATTGCAGCCATTTGGGGAGTGAACCAGCAGATGGAAGACCTCTCTCTCTCTCTCTCTGCCTCCACCTCTCTCTGTAACTCTGCCTTTCAAATAAATAAAAAATGAATCTTTTTTAAAAAGAATTTTTAAAAATCATTATTCCTTAAACATAGCTTATTAATGACTTTTGTACAAATTTACAAAATGGGCTTAGGTATCACAAGTAATCAAGAGACGAGAGGGCTTCAAAAAGGGCGTGGACAATGGAATAAAGGTGGAGTTTATTTGGGTGCAAAAAGCCTGTTGAAATCACTGCAGAGGTTTTTCCTGGCATGCATTTTCCATGAGGCTTTTGGACAGGAGGACGCGTGGATGGGACAGGCAGAGACAATGCCACTTTAGGAGAGGGACGTGAGCATCTTCCAGGACGCATGGGAGTCCCGGTGCCCATCCCCCACAGATATTGCACACTGATTGGTTCCAAGAGCACTGCCGTTTTCCGAACAGCTGCAAAACCAAAGACTCTCCAGGCGAGAAAACACCCGTGAAACCATCTGGAAGAGCCCGGGGCTTCCGGGACCGCCCAGTAAAGCAGCTCAGCCTCTCCAAGCTGCCCCACAAAAACTCTCCAGAGAGCAGCGCCGAGCACCCAAAGATCGGACCATCACCCACAGCCCTCGGATTTGTAACCACACACAACGCTGTCTGGGCAGTTAGCTCTTGGATCACCGATGGGGTGCTCCCAGTGTGCCCTCACCTCGCCCTGAGGCACTGGGGGCCCTGCCTCTGCCCCAGAGGCTGGCCAGGTGCTGGGACAGCACGGGAAACCTTGGCCAGCATCCTCAGTCCCGGGGGAGCAGTGCCGGGGCGGTGTCTAAGGCGGGGCCAGGACCCCGGTGGCCTACATGGGCATTGGCTGTCTCAGTGCGGGGCTGCAGGACCACCAAGCCTGGGGAAAGGCGGCAGCCCCAGTTTGGGTCTGGGAGCTAAAATTAGCTTTGAGTCACACCTCCTGGGTCAGCCACCTGGGAAGGTGGGTGGCGATCTCTGGGCTGGAAGGGCCCACATTGGTCCCCGTCTGCAGGGGTTCTAGATGGCCCCAGACCCCCTGCATAGTGAACTCCGAGCTTTCTTCACTGCAGGGAGTCCAAGAGCGCTCACTGTTCCCACCAGGAGCAGGTGCTCATCTAGGGGGAGAGTTATCAGGATGCCAAGGACAGCAGCCCAGCCTCAGAGGGCGACTTCCCCAGCTGAGCCCCAGTTTCTCATGCGTGAAAAGAACGTAGACAAGGCGCCTTCAAGCACCAGCTCTGCCGCAGCCAGCCAAGGCTGTCCCTATCCCCGGCCAGTGGCCCCTTGCAAACAGAGTTCAGGACTGAGAGAAGCAGAGAAAGATGTAGCCACCTGGTCCACCCAGCATCTGGAGCTGCAGGGCAGGTAAGGGAGACTGAGTCATGGCCCAGAGCTCTTGGCACTGAGCCGGCTCTGGAAAGCCCGAGGTTCTCTGAGAGCCCAGCCTGAGCTGTCTGCAGCTTGGAGGAGTCTGGGAGAAAGACAGGTAAGACAAGCTGACCCCTAGTCACCGAACACACATTCAGCAAAACCACCTAGCATAGAATCCCAGGAGGTGTTTAGAAGCCGCCTGCCAGCAGGTATGCCCCTGTCCCCTGGGTCCTGGGGCAGGGTCCCCCCAAGCAGACCTCCAGGGTCTGCAGGGTCACCTGCTGTGAGCAGAGGCAGCGCCCGGGAGCGTCCAGCTTCCAGAAGTGGGGTCAGGTGCTGTTAGAGGACAAAAGAGGCCCCACCCCACCTCGGATGTGATCTCAGAACCATCTGCATCCACGCACTAGGCACGCGATGGTGAGTGCCCGCCTCACCATCGCTGCGCCACCGTGAGAATTAACAGCACCAGGACCAGACGTTCCAGGAGCGTCTCAGTAATCGCTCCTTTCCCTCTCTTCCCAGCAGGACTGTGCTTGCTAGACATGGAAGAGCTAGAGAGGAGGGGGCAGCAGAGGGGTCAGGGAGAGCCTGTGGAGGAGGTGCAGCACGGGGAGAAGCACTCAGAGCGGAGGGCAGAGAAATCCTAACTCTCGGGGTGGTAGGATCAGAACGGGGTTTGAGTCCTTAGCAAAGGAAGCCGGGAGAACTCTCTGGAGCTCTTACTGCCACAGGAGGAGACAACGAGAAATTGGCCTCTGCAACCCGCCGGGCTGGGGCCCTGACCTCCAATGTGCCAGCTTCCAGAATGTGGGGAATAGATGTCTATTGTTTCTAACCCAGCCAGACAGGGGTGCTCTGCTAGAGCCGCCCAAAAGACAAGCATATGTCAAGGAAGAAAAAAAATCCACAGTTCCAGCCTCTCCTGGGAATTCATCAATTCTGGTAAATTCTTGGCCACAGCAGGCTGCCCTGAGCAATGGTGTGACCTTGAGTGGGCCAAGGCTCCCGAGTCCACCCCCACCCACCCCCACCTCCAACCTACCCGAGGCTGAAGCCGCCTGTCAGGGTCACCTGGCATGACTGTTTCCCGTCACAGAAAGAAGGGCTTTGCAGCCAAGTGGGAAAATGACAGGGGCACCGGGAGAGCCAGAGAAGCAGGCAAGGGCTCGCTCGTGGCCAAGGAAGGCAAGACAAAGCCCGCACGTGCTCACTGGGCCCATGTGCCTCCTGGCCCTGAACCACCTGGGCACACCTTGTATTTTAAGGGAGGATGCAGCAGGCCACCCAGGCAGGGTCCCTCCAATGCACCAAGATGCTCCCACGTCTCAAGAGCACCTGTGACACCCCCGCCCTCCCTCCACCTGCATGCGCCCCGTCCTGCACATCTCAAGTCCCCAGGGCAAAAGCAGGATGGGCACAGAGCGAGCTCCAGGGCTTAGGGAAGGAGCTGAGGGAGGTACAGAGATGGGGCAGTGGGTGTCTTTGCGTCACCAGCCTGCACGCACTCAGCCAGCTGACCCCTGCTTAGCCCTGGCTCCTCCCACCTGCCCCAGCCTCTGTCCTTGGTTGGCGCTGAGCAGGGAGCATTCCTCAGAGTGTGGGAGACACGCGCCCCAGCTCTGTCTCCCTCTTGCCCTCTGCCCTCAGCCTTGCCCACCGCCAACCCTGCAGTCTGACCCTCAAGCTCCCCCTTCAGCCATTCGGGCATCCACGGGGGCTCCTCTTGGCTTCCCAGAAACACCCCGAGGGCTGCCATGGCTGAGACACAGGAAGCCACAGCCCCATTCCTGGGACCTGAGTGGAACCACCGTGAGTGGTGAGTGACATTTGTAAGCAAAGCGGTTACTCACCAAAGCCAAGGCCAAACCCCCCTGTAATCTCCTCCTGACACCCCTGCATTTGGCCGTCCCCAACTCTGTGGGAGTGGAGTTTCCAAAACGCTTAGAAAGACTTTTTTTTAATGATTTCAGAATATTTGCACACACATAATGCGACACCTTGGGGAAGAAACCCAAGTCGAAACACACAATTCCTTTCTGTCTCACAGAGCTGGAGCCTGCAGGCCACTGCATACAATCTTTATAATAAACTAAGCTTCCTGGTGCACGGACTTTCTCACTGGCAGCATAAGGCACGCACCCATGTTTCAGACTCTGGATCACCAGAAGCTCCGCCCCCCACGTGCCCCGGGAACATGTCCCACAGCCCCTCAGCTCGCTGGGGACAAGGCGTGGCTCCCCAGCACCTTCTCCCAGTACTTCTCCTCCCCACGCCTGGTGCGCCGTACACCTGCTGGTCCCTGCACCTGGAAGGCCCCCCACTCTGCCCTGTCCTCTTTCTACCTCCAGAAGCCACATTCACAACGCAGATGGCTATTTGCTTGTACGTGTGCACCTGTCTCTGACCCATCTGCTATGGGGGGGCCTCTGGAGACCAGGGAGACCCCAAATTCTGGCACAGGACGGGCAGCAGACAACTCAGGGAGGCCTCTCCCACCGCCTGTTACCAGGAAAAAGTCCACAGTCTGCTCTGCACTCCCACCTTCCAGCTCCTCTGTAACACACTGGCACTCCCCTGGACACACTGTAAGGGGCAACCAGCCCTGTTCTGGCCAGCACAGCTGCCCAGCCTGATCACTGGACAAATACATTTGAGGCCGGGGATCAAGAGCCACTGGGTGGGTCCATTCGTCCAGGTAGGGTACCCCAGAGACCCTCGGGGGGCAGATCATCTCTTGGCAAAAGATCCCTAGGGATTTGCATCATCCGGGCTACAACAGCTGCAGAGAAGAGAGCAAGCCTCTAGGAAATCCACGCTTCCTGACAGCCGCGCACTGGCACCAGGAGTCCCCAGGGAAGGCAAGGGAGAAAGTGCACCCAGGAAGAACATCCTCAGACATGCGATGCTCACCCCTCCGGGCCTGGCCCAGGAACTGCGGGCTGAGCACCCAGGGCTGTCACCCTGGAGCGGAGCAAGCTGCCACCATAGAGCGGTCCCTCCTGGACAAGCCGTCTGTCGGCTGCATTCTCAGGCTGTGTCCCAATCAAAGGGGCACAAAGCAGGATGTCTGTGACCTCGGCGGTGATTGACAGGAGGAGAGGAGAGCCACATCTGCCGGGTGCTAGACGGTCCCACCCCACCCGCCCCAGGGAGACAGAGACCGTGCCGGCCGCCAGCCCTCCCAGCCCACCCAGCAGAAACTCACCCTTTAGGGAGGCCACGTGTGACAAGGCCTGGGCGTATGTGGCCGTGTTCAGGAGGGTCCCCGGCAGGCAGGAGGGGAAGAAGGGGCCTGCAGGACCCACGGTCCGCCCCAGGCTGGCAAAGGGAGAAGAGCTCGTTGAGTTCCGGCCCCCTGTGCAGCACAGCCGGGGATCCCCACCCCGAGGCCCGCAGTCCCACCAGCTTCACCTCTGCTGAGCTTCCAGGGCCTCCTTCTTGCTGCGGGTCTGCTCCCCGGGGGGCGGGGAGCTGATGTTTCTCACGGGCGGCGGCTGCACCTCGGCCATGGGCTCCTTGGCTCCCGGCTCCTGGTCGGAGGCGCCCCTCTCCGTTTTCCTCCACTTGGCCCTTCGGTTCTGGAACCAGACCTGAGTTCCCGAGGGAAGACAGAGTCAGACGGGGGTGGGAGAGGTGGGGGGGCGGGAGCCCACATCACAATTCCGGGGACCTCACCCCTACCTCCCACCAGGCGGCACTTGCAATCCCCCTTAGAGGCCCCCTCTCATGCTCCTTGAACCCACAGGCGGGTCAGGGGGTGTCCTTGTGACAGGTGCTTCTGCAAACAGCAGGAAGTCTCCACGTGCCTGCCTGTGTTGTTGTGGACACTCCCAGCATGGTGATTCACGGGAATTCGTTTCACTGATGAGAAATGCATTTCCTACCCGGAGTTCATGGTCAAAGTCACTCATGTGATCATCTCAGGTTTTCCCCTCTCAGAAACAGCCTCAGGCTTCCAGCTGGCTTGGCCAGAGCACCTGCCCCTGCCTCGCCTCACTCTGTGGTCTAACCCAACCCAGTGCACCCATAAGAAATGTTGACTCTGGTGGCAGCCCTGGTTCAGCATTTGCGACCTCAAAGAATCCGGCTTAGACCTCACAGGTGGGGGCCTGCGCTGTGGTGTAGCAGGTTAAAGCCCCAGCCCGCAGCGCCAGCATCCCATATGGGTGCTGGTTCCAATCCAGCTCCCTGCTAATGCTCCTAGGAAAGCAGTAGAAGATGGCCCAAGTCCTTGGGCCCCTGCACCCACGTGGGAGACGTGGAAGAAGCTCCTGGCTCCTGGCTCCTGGCTCCTGGCTTCTGGCTTCAGATCAGCTCAGCTCCAACTGTTGAGGCCATTTGGGGAGAACCAGCAGATGGAAGACCTCTCTCTCTCCCACTCTCTCTCTGTCTCTTCCTCTCTCTGTGACTATCTTTCAAATAAACACACACACACACACACACACACAAAACCCTCACAGGTGGCCCTGCTGTTGCCGTTGCACAGAGGGACCAATTCACTTGTCCCAGGGTCACCCCCCAAGTGCTGGATTCACCATCTGAACCCCAGCTGGGGCAGGGGTGGGTAGTGATGATGATGTCGCCCCCAAGCATGGTCAGTTAGGAAGTTCACATCAGCCGGTGTCATCATCTCTCTCCTCCCCAAGTTCAGAGGAGGCTGGTGGGCCGAGCAGCTTCTCAGAGGCTGGTGGCAGAGTCCCGAAGCCTCAGAGAGCAACAGTGCATGGGCAAGAGGGCAGCCTCCTGGAACCCCGGGCAGGCCAGACTCAAGGTGTTCCCAGGTATGGGTGGACTCCTGCCGCTCTGGCTTCCTCCAGTAAAATCTCCTCTCTGCCCTCCTGGGAGAGCAGTCCTGGCTGACAGAAGGGCTTGGCCAGCCCTCCCGCCTATTCTCCCGGGTAGCCTCTCCTTCCCTGGCTGCCAACCCCACTGGCCAGGGAAACAGCCAGGGGCCTAGAGGCTGAGGCCTGTGCCAGCCTATCCCATTGCTTCGATTTCATTCTCCCTTCACTGGGTTTCTCTCTCTCTTTCTTCCTTCCTTTCTTTCTTTCTTTTTTTTTAATCTGGTTGGCTTTTAATTGCACATATCAGTGATCATTGAATAATGATTTTATCTATATTCTAAATTTAGGGCAGTTAAATGCAAAGCAAAATGCAGACACTTTCTTGCGTCTTAATTGAATGAAGGTCACAGCTATAACAACACTTAATTGAGCTATTTTTCATTATCATATTTTAATGACTTTGCACTGACAGTCTGCCTGCTTCGGAGGAAAGAGTGTGATGGAGTCGTTTATTTCCCTATTTAGTTATTGTTTGACAACATCAGCTTCGATTAAGACCCTGCTTTATAGAACATTAATCATATTTGAATGAGCAAGGGGTAGAAATGTAAACACATCTCCCTTCCCACCACCGCCTGCCTGCTGGAGAGCCCCGGGCCCCTTCGCCAAACAACCACAGCCCATTGTCTGCCTGCATAATAGCCAACAACAGCCGGAACAATTCCCCGCTTTAATTGTCACCACCCCTATCTCACCCTTGCACCTTCCAGGGAGAAGTTATGATCTTCCACTTCTGAATGCTCCATAATTGTGTCATTTATCTCAATTTGCAGTTCAATCTTTAGGCAGCTATTGGCAAGCCGGCATTAAAAAAAAAAGAAAGGGTAGACGGGTACCCTGGCCAAAGGAGATTTTCATTTCCAAATAATAATCAGTTTAATTTGCCCGCGTATGACCAATGATTCATGTTCAGATTTAATAATCAGGATCACATAATCTGATTATAGGGGAAATAACTTGTTTACAACCCCCAATTTACTGCTCAGAATTCCATTATCTCTCTTCAGCCATTGGTTTTTAAGAGATGACCCAGGGGAGCCCAAAGCAAACTATTATATTTCCTACAATTAGATCTTTGCATAGGCTTAACCCCAAGCCCCTACATAAAAAGGACCAGAAACAGCATGGAGGAAACCCCATAAATAAAATGAATATATAATTGTGCTCCAAGAATGGCTCGCCCAGAGAGAAGACCACACCGCGTGTCTGCTCCTCCCGCGCTCAGCCGCATCTGCTGGGCTCGGTCTGGTCGATGCGTTTAAACAGCATCACCGCGCCGCTCCTGCGAAGAAACCCGACTCGGAGATGGCCATGGCGGGCCTCGCTCAGTCTCCGAGGCAGCCCTTTGGCCGGCCGTGGAAAGATTCTGAAATTGCACGTGTCTTCCGATCCACTTTGCTAAAAGGGTCTGCGTGCAGGGGGTACGTCGGGCAGGATGCAATTTCTGGAATGCAGATCACCGCCTTGTTCCCATCTGAAAACACGGTTCCCTGGTTCCCTGCAATTGACTGACCTCACCCCAGGGCGGTCAAAGCTGCTTTGAGAATAAGTATCTCAGCTCTTTTTTTTTTTTTTTTCCCAAAGCAAGGAAATGGATGTGCATTGATGTAATTTAGTACCTTAGAGACGCGGACAAATTAGTGTAGAACATTATCACTAGTTAATTATGAATGACCGATTAATCAACCTAATCTAATATTCCACATTATGTTGATGTTATTAAAGTGCATCATGAAAATGACAGATAGTGTTCATTTGCTTTCTTTGGCCAAATGTGCACTCTGCAGTCATGATGTCAAAAAAAAAAGTTTGCCAGTTTTAATATTAGAGAGTTAAATAATTAAAAAGGAGGTTACCTGCACTCGCGCTTCTGTGAGGTTTATTTTCATGGCTAGTTCTTCGCGGGTGAAGACATCTGGGTAGTGCGTCTGGGCAAAAACGGCTTCAAGAGCTTCCAGCTGGTGAAAGGGGGGAAAATGCAGACATTTACCGGTGAGAGGAGGCAGGGGTGCGGATCGCACAGCCACGGGGCGTTTCGCGGATGAAACCAAAGCAGGAAAGGGAGAGAAGGATCTTCGAAGAGACCCCCGCAGAATGGCACGCGTGATTTCCGAGCCAAGACTTAGGAATGAACTCCGTCCAAACAGAGGTGTGATGATTGGATTTGCACTTTCATTTAAGTCTGTTCGAAGGCAGCAAAAACCGGACGCATGGCCGTAGGCAGAGGTAGGGTGACTCGATTATCACAGGACAAGAGAGAAAAGAAGCGACTTGTGAAGTGCCACCCCCGCCAGTCTCACAGAAAGCAGGGGGCTGTGGGTCACTTCCAGACTGACCCCGAGGGCACCAGCGCTGGGGCAGAGACCCATGCAAGGAAAAGAGCCCAGCTCCGCGGAATGCAACCTCAAGGTTCCAGGAGTCGCCCTGCCCCTCATGGACAACGACAGTATCTACAGCGCCAGTCAGCATCTGGGATCCATGTCTGCAGATGTGGAAATGCACCCCAAATTGCAAACCTGAGCCAAATGAGAGAGGCCATGGTTGCTTCTGCCCTGATCTACCTGGGGTCATGAGGTCAGGATCATCTGCTCTCCCCCACCCCTACCCCAACAGATTCCCGGACACATAAATGGTTCAAGAAAACAGAATCAGTGGATCTGATTTTAAGAACCAAAGAGGAGGTGCTCCACTCTGATGCTGGGGGGGAGGGGGTTCAGAGGAGGTGCTCCACTCTGATGCTGGGAGGGGGGCAGAGGAGGTGCCCCCACTCTGATGTTGGGGGGGACAGAGGAGTGCTCCACGCTGACGTTTGGGGAGGACACAGGAGGTGCTCCGTGCTGATGTTGGGGGGACACAGGAGGTGCCCCATGCTGACGTTTGGTGGGGTGACGGGGCAGGAATGAGCTGACTCTCAGAAGGGACCCCCACGCAGGTACCTGCTGCAGGGTGAACGTGGTCCGATTCCGGCGCTGCTTCCTCCGCAGGAACCCATCGTCGAAATCCCCCGTGGAGTGGCTGGTGAAGGGTGCCGAGCCTACCGGGAGCAAACTGCATCAGCCAAGCAGAGAGCCCCGGTCCTCAGAGCGCTGCCCGGACCCCCTCGGAGCACCAACCCACACCCACCAGGCAGCCCTGCATCCCCAAAGCATCTTCCTCTGCTCCCCCTGTTAGGACCAGTCATTCCCAGTCTCCCACGCTCGCTGTTTCCCAGAAACCCTAGGCCGGGGCACCCCCACTATCCTTCTAGTGTGAGGCAGGTGGGGACCTTAATCCCTAAGCCACTCAAGTCCACATCCCCAGGAATTCGGGACTCTCAGCCAGGAGGGGTGTCTGGCTTGAGCGGAGCCTGAATCTGCCCTCTGGCTCCCAGCTGCCCGCTGCCCGGCCCCAATTTCACCTCCTGGAGGCTCTGGGACTCTGTTTTGCTCACCTGCCAGTGCCCCGCCCCTGGTTAATGGGAGCACCGAGGGTTAAAGGCTGGGGAGAAGGGAAGCTGGGGCGGACAGAGAGCACCAGGAGCTTTTCAGAGCACCTTTCTCCCAGAAGTGCAGAAAGCAGGGAGATAAGAAGTTTGTAAATAAACATGAATCGTCATTGGTCACAGCTCATCAGCACCATAGTGGAGCTGCTCCATGGATGTCAGTGAACGAGAGATCTGCAGCCACGGCGGCTGTCCTGAGCCAAGCCGCGCGGAGCTGCACGAGGCCATTCTCCCAGAGTGCTGCCTGCCCTAGCCAGGCCCTTGAAAGCACCTCCAGCTCCCACTGCCCCCAGGACCCCCAGGCATTTGTCCTGCCTAGCAGCCTCCACCACTCGCTTGCAAAGCTACACAGGACTTGGCCCCCAACGTGCGTTCAGATCATTTTCCAAATGTGCACTATTTACCTGATAGTCCACAACGGCTTCTCAGGAAAATGAACAAGTGAGGTCCCATTAACCGGCGAGCACTGTACCTGCCAAGGGCCCTGTGTTCCTAGTCCCTGTGCCGGCAGTGCCCACTCTTGGAGCCACATCTCTCAGAAGGAACGTAGTCGCAGGGACGCACACTTGCTAACAAGAACCTTTTCTGCTACTAGGTTACCCTGCAGGGCCACAACACCCCTGCTCTCAGTGCCAGCTTTCTCCCTCCAGCTTCCTGTTCAAATTGCCTTCTTCTTAGAAGCCCCACTGAAATTTCAAAGGGATAGTCCCGACGTGGTCTTTTGCCCACTGCTTTGTAACAACAAAGCCAAATTGGCTCCTTTTGGAATAAATACGTTTGACTGGTGAGGAGGAACCCAATCTCTCCCCAAGCCCTCAGAGTTCCACGCCCTCGCCCCAAACTGCTTCACATTAGGTACAAGTAATGGCTTCAAGTAAGACACTGTGTGTCAAACAGTATCCTAGAACGGGGCTCTCCGGTCATCAGATTAATAAGAAAAAGACTGACAACCTCAAAAGAGGACAAATCGAGAACAGACTTTTTACTTAAAAATCAGTAGAATGGTCTATAACATGGAAATGGTAAGCCTCATAGAAATTAAACAAAACAACACAGTGAAATGGTACTGTCATTGTTTTGGCAAAAAAAAATAAAATAAAATAAGGTGTATACAAATATCCCGGACAGATAGAAATGTAACAGAATGTACAAGCTCAGTCAGGTTGTAGGGATACCAAGTGGTGCAGCCTTATTAGAAGGTAATTTAACAATCTGCATCGAATATGCACACACTTACATAGATAGCTAATCTACAGCTACACTAATGAAGTGTGCCAACAGAAAGATGGAGAAAAACCTAGAAACTACCAATAGACACTTTCTGTGCAACGTAGGAGAGCTCTTTAAAAAAAACCGCAAATTATGGGAAAACTACACATACAGGAAGTTCTCATTTTTGTTTCTGCACCAAAACAAACTTTGCTTTCGGTTCTGTTTTTCCATGAACTTTTGGGAGTGCCCCCTGTATCTGGAATACTACACAGCTGTTTAAAAGAAAAAAGTCGAGCTGGACACGCTGTTAGGAGAGATCCCTGCCTGGGCTGTACTAGGAAGTCACAAAACCAACGTGGAAAATGATTTCAGCCGCAACGAGGCACAGCACACAGAGAAGCGATGTGTCAATGAGACCAGAAGCGTGTTTCTGGTTGCAAGAAACGAACCACGACAGGTACCTTTAGAAAAAGAGGTAGAGCGCGATCTTGCCTTTCTTTGTACCGGTTTCTGTTCCACCGGAACTTCTCACGCAGGCGTGTGTAGTACTTTTCAACTTAATAGCAACAAAAGCATCCAAGAAGCGAGCCATGCTTTGCTTTCTCAGTTAATAAAAATTAGAAATGACAAGCTGAGAGAGGACTATGGAACCCCCTGTTCCCAGGTCTGCTCTCGGCTTTTCCCATCTGCAGCCGACTGATTGTCTGCACCTCACAACACCAGACTAAACCAGAAACGCCTCCTGCAAAAGCAACACCGAAAGCCGCCCGAAGGAACCTGAAAACCATCTCCTCTATGTTTGCTCGTGTCGCTCTGAGTCAGCACCCAGACCGGAAGCGTGCTGAGCCCGGCAGAGCGAGCTGAGGGTGGTGGGCAGCTGTCAGAGAGAGCAGAACGGGGCCACTGCAGGCTGAGCCCAGACTGCCCCTAAGTCTCTTCTGTAACCTTTCCCCCCCTGAAGACCCCAGGAACTGTGCCACCTGCTACATCTCCGGACATCAGCTCTGGCCAGCAGTGTGGGAACTGCCGGCTGCACACAGTTCAGAAACACAGAGAGCCAGCAGGTGCACCTCTCTGACATCCTTGAAGCCGGTTCTGCCTGGGTTCTTATGGGTAAAAGAAGATAAAATGCAGGCAAGTGTGGGGCCTTCTGCCCTTAACCACTGGACCTCATTAGCCTCCTTTGGCAAATCCTCCGGGACTCCTGTGAACTCTTCTGGGGAAAACAAAAGCAGGTTTCTGAAATCCCTATACACCCTGAGCAGCAGGGGCTGGGCTACTGCAGGGCAGGTGCACCCCCTCAGGGATCTCTGGTCCCCCCTCCCCGTATCTCACCACCTTGCACCCTGCTCCATTTCTCCCTGCAATTCTCAGCCTTCAAAATCCTGCATTGCAAGAGTGAATCAAGAGACTGTCTCGCCAGAGCCCAGTCTGAAGCAACTGCTCTGAGAAAGGCCCGGTGCACGCTTCAAGTGGGCAGCTGATTCACCTGTGGGGCAGGAATGGGCTCCTTTGGAGGACCCACCCTTGGATCCTGCAGGTCCTGGGTGGAGCCACACAGGGGTACCAGCTGTGCCCTGGTCACCACCCCCAGCTCCTCCTAGCCAGGAAGGTCATGGACCACACCAGGGATCCCAAAAAATAATTTCTTCTAAGGAGTGGAGACTTTCAAAAATGAGAACCTTTTGATTTGGGATCAAAAACCCACAGAGTCACAGATGAGGAGCCAGGCCAAGGCTGGAGGGGGAGGGGCAGGCGGTCCCCAGGGAGGCTGCCGAGGTGACCCGGGCGCCAGGGACTGGCCCTGAGCAGCCTGAGGCCACGGACGAGGTTCTTGGAGCATCACTACCCCGAGCCCCGAGCGACAGCAGCCCAGGCGTGGGTCCTTCCTGGCCAGGGAAACGCTGCAGGCCCGCTGGCCTTGGCTTTCCGGGAGGTTTGCAAAAAGCAGCGTGGAAGATTGATGCGGCCCCCTGGGCGGGGGAGCCCCGATTAGAAGCGTGACACCAGCATCTGCGCTGGGAGGAGGCCTGTGCGGGTCCCCACGGCACGCATAGCCCGGGGCCTCCCTGGCCCAGGCGGAGAGGGAGGTGGGAGGCAGGTGGCGCCGGGGCTGGGGCTGGAGCAGGGTGCCGGGAGGGGGCCGGGGACTCCCCGAATTCACCGCCGGGCGGCTGCGCCCCACCGCCCGCCAGCCCCGCAGCCCGCTCCGGCTCCTCCTGGCCGAGTCCGGCCTCGCCCGAGCGGCCCGGGCAGCGGCACTTACTCACCCTCCAGCTGGGGCGGGCAGTGGAAATAAAACATCGCCGACGGTCGGGCGGGCTGCACGGCGGCTGGGGCTTGGACCGCTGCGCGGGGCTCCGGCTGGCTGCAAGGCAAACAGCGACAGAACCCGAGTCCCCTCTGCCCGCGCCCTGGGGAGCCCCGGAAGCTCCCGTCCCGAAGAGTCCCCTTACAACGCCTCCAGCCCGCTGCCGAGGCCGGAGGGGACCTGGCAGCGCCGTCGCAAGCCGGGGCGTGGGGGGGGGGGTCCCCCGAGGGGCAGCCCTTGGGGTGGGTCCACCTCCCACACAGCCGTGCCCTCACCCTCGCCCCAACACCCAACCCGGGCGGCGGTCCGGTTCCTGGCGCTCCGGGTGTCCCCGCCGCCAGCCCAGCGCTCGGGCACCGCAGCCGGGGCTGGGGCCGGCGAGCGCGCACGCCGTGGCGGCTCTTGCCGGGAAGGCCCCGAGCCCCCAAGGCCCAGCGCGCGGGGCCCGGCGAGCGCGTCCTGCCTGAGCCGGGCGTACCTCGGCGGGCGGCGGGTGGGAAGGCCGGAGCGTGAGCGCCCCCGGCCAGCGCGCGGGGCTGCGCGAGCGACGGGCGGGGCTGGGCGCAGCGGGCGCCCCGCAGGACCGGAGAAGTGACTCGGGCCGTGGCCAGATGTCTCGATGCCTGTCTACCGCGCGCGCCGGCGCTCAGCGCTCGCCTTTATAATCTCACGCGTAATTGGCCTTAATCTGATTATTTCCAGCGCTGTCTACAGCGAGTAACTTGGATAGGTCTATTGGGCCTTACAAATGGCCCACGTGGTGTTAAAAAAAAATCCGTCATTTCTCAGCAAACATCAGGAATGTTTTTTCCCCTCTCTTTTCTTTTAAGAAAGGTTCCAAAGGAGCACCACCAAAACAAAAAACAAACAAACAAATAAAAAAAAAGCAAAACAAAATGGGCATTATTTTCCGAACCCCTGGCGCCACCCCCAGCCCGGGGCCCCTCAGCCCCAAACCTGCTTCTCCGCGAGCACGGAGATCCGGGCTCGCCGGTGGCAGGCGCCGGCCGCTCCCGGGCTGCCGAATGACAAAGCGCCGTTAATTGTCGCCGCCGGGCGGGTTTGGGGGCGACGCGGCGCGCGGCTTCCCTTTCCACAAGCGCTCGTACAGAAGGAAAGTTTGATTTTGTTCTCAGCGAGGGGTCCCTGAATTTATGCTCGAGTCTCACGCAAATGATATGCGGTGGGACCCTTGGCAATCACTTTTAAAGCGCATCGGAGGCCGGCGCTCGGCGGAGAGAGACCGCCCTTCTCGCTGCCTGCGTGGAAATTAAACTCCAAAGTACCGGGCTGAAATGTTCAAGTCAGGGGCGCGGGATTGGAGCAAATCACATAAACGGCGGAAAAAAAGCAAGTCTAATGGCGCATAATTGGTCCTGTAATAGCATTACACCAGGATAATAGCCCGTTACGGCCCTTGCACTATTAAGTGCTTCTCTGGCGGAAAGCCTTTATGATATTAAAGGGGGGATATAATGATATTTTGGTTATTAAATGCGTGTAATTAATTTATGCACCACTGAAAATAAAGTTGGTATTATGACCCACTCAAGAGGCCTGGCACAATGCAAGTTAGACAACTGTTGATAAGTTCTGTTGCCTTCCGTCTAGACTGTCGATTTTATTTCGGGACCATGGCTTCTTGGACAGACGGCGCAGACTGAATATTTTATAAACATTCTGATGCCGCGTTCGGGCGCCTGGGCGAGGCGCCGGGCCTGCTCTGCTCCCCGCCCGGCCCCGGGATCCGGTACCCGGTCTTCAAGACGCAGCGCATGGCCAGCGCGCGCCGCGGGGACGAGGGGCGTCCAGCTGGAGGCCGGAGCGCTTGGGGCCCTGGCCCGCCGGCGGACAGCCGGCACCAAGACGCTGCACCGCTCCGGCTGCGGCGGCTTGGCGGCCCGTTTCACGCAAGCGGCCCCTCCTGGGCTCAGCCGCCGCGGCGCGGGGAGGAAATCGCCGCAAACTCCGGCTCGCTTCAGAGCGGAGAGAGCTCCCCGCGGCGCCAGCCCCGCTGGGGCCACCGACTCCTGCGAGTGCCGGGTTCGGCCCGGGAGGAGCAGGTCCGCGGGTCCGGGAGGCCGGTGCGGACGCCGGCAGGGCAGCCGGGAACGGGGTTTCCGTTTCGCGTAGGAAGGGCTGGCGCCCCGGGAGCCGACCGTCTCCCAGCCCCTGGCCCGCGCGCGCGGTCTCTCTCCCCGTCCACCACAGAGGACCCCTGCTCTCCGGAGCCCCATCCAAGAGCTAGAGACGCACAGCCCCATCTTGGGCCCGTGGGTCTGCCTAAAGGCCCCTCTCGGGCTCCCTCCTGCCCTGGGCGGCGAACTCCTATCCCGTGCGCTCTGCGTGCTCTCGGACCCGAGTGCCTGCGAAGCGAGGTGAGGAAGATGTCCAGGCCGACTCGGCCGGCGCATCTGACGGTCCATGCTGCGGGCGCCCTCAGCACCAGTAGCGTGGTGCGGGGCGCCGCCCGGGCCCCAGAGACCGAGGGAATCCAAGCCCCAGCCTCAGCTCTCCATCTCTGACATCGGCCGAAACCTGTTCTTGTCCAGACCCAGAGATGTCCCTGGCACGCGACGGGCTGCTCCCAGAGTCTGAGAACAGTGCGCTCCCGTCCTGGGCAGAACCCTGGACAGCGGCGCTGCGTTCCCCAGCCCACGCCCAGAGAAGCGCGCGGCGCTGCGCGGCGGCCGGACCCGCCCGGCCGGCACCTACGCGCCCCGGGGCCGAGCCTAAACCTTTCTAGGTGCAAATCTGCCAAAGTAAACTCGGGACGCGCGCTCAGCACGCGCGGCAGGGACCCACCCGCGCGGCTCCTGACCCCGCGGTTCCAGCTGGGAATCCTCCCGCGGCCCCTCGCCGCCTGGCCCCGGCCTCCCAGCGTCTCCAGACGGCGAACCTGGCCGCTCCCTCGGGCCGGACCACCAGCCGAGCTCGGGGAAGACACCCACCTGGCGCGGAGCTGGAAGCCAGCTGGGGACCCTCGGCCTCGCCACGCCCAACGTCCCTGTCCCGGAGCCGCTACCGCTGGGCTCCCTCCTGTTGGCAAAACAGCGAATCAACAAACAACCCTGGAAACGAAAAACTGCCGCCAACTTGGACGACGCGGGTCCCCTTCTCTTCCTGGATTTTGCCAACCCTCGGGCCTGGAGAAAGACTACTAGGTATTCGCCTCCTCTCGTCTCCCCTCCCCAAATTAAAAACGGGGCGTTCGTAAAGAAAAAGCGTATTTTTCCTTGATTCTTGTGCGTGGCGGGGGTGGTGGTGGTGGTGTATTCTGCAATTAACCAAATTCACCGGTCTGTCCCGCTTGGACCCTCTGATAATTTACGACCTAAAAGTGTACTTTCTGTATCTAAAGATCAAGGTGACTGCTTTTAATTTTCTCTCACCTCTTTACACTTGATGTTCACCAGACTCATAATGTTAATTGGCTTCATATACGGATCATCAGTTTAATGAAGAAATAAATCCTGTGTTGCTTTATGTTTTAACAGTGATTGCTTTAATGAGGGATGTGACGTGTTCAAAATCAAAGCTGCGGGAGACGTTAGGAGGGGCTTCTATTAGGAGGGAAATGCTTATTTAAAGCTACAACGGTGGGGTCATATTTCAGCCTCCCCACCCCCACGCGGGTTCCTTCCAGGCGCGGCAAGGAGAGAATTCTGTGGTCCTCAAGTCCCCTTCTCTCCGCGTTCAGCACGCACCAGCATCTACATTCCCTAGTGCCCGTCCTGCAGGCCAGGAAGAAGTGGGGAGCTCAGCCTTGACGGTGGTTCACATTTTAAGGGACCAAGTGGGAAGAGAGGGCCACACGCCATGTGTTTGTGTGTGTGTGTGTGGGTGTGTGTGTGTGCAGGTGTTCCCCAGACAGTCCTGCTGGTCCACATCCCTAGTTCTGAAAACTCAAGGCTTGGCTCAGACCAGCAGGCTGCTCCGGGCAGGCCAAGTGGGCTGCTGGTGACCCAAGCCTCCGCCCCTGGGAACGTGGCCAGGGTCTGAGCTGGGCTCCTTCCCGGGTGATGGGAAACTTTCCTCTCGGCTGCCCCAATGGCTGTTGTTGTTGTTGTTGTTGTTGTTTTCTATGCCGGTTCTATGAAGACAAAACTGTCATCTCAGAGCAGCAGTACCGTGCTGAACATGGGGCGTCCAGGCCCTGGGTTGTTTTAAATTGACCTGTGAGTCGTTTTCAATTGGCTCCTGAAAAGAATCCCACATCCTTAGGTAGACGTAGGGGTTTGAGGCTCTGGCTTGAGGTCTCAAACACCACACGTGCTGTTGGTTTCTTGCCATTGTCTTCCATTTCACAACAGCTGGAAGACCATTTGGAGACACCTCTGTCCACATCTTTGAGCCCACGTGAGTGAACATACGTAGTGCGTGACATCTGAGTTGTGCATAGAACCGATTTCCCAACATCCCTTTGACAACTTTTTCTTAGCAGAAACTACACAAACACAGTTTATGTCTTTAACAGCTGAGAAAATACTTCCAGTACAGGGAAAGAGAGGAGAAAAGTCATATAGAATTTCTTAGGCTGTGCTTTGGAAGGGTCCAGATGATGCGTCTTGTTTGTGACACGCGTGGTTTAAAACACGAGCATGGCTCTCTGCTGTGATCCCCAGTGGCCACCCAGCTCTCCCGCAGTGGCAGGTGCAGCAGGTGCATGGTTGGTGTGAACAGGCACACCTCCTTGTCAGTGACTCCATCGTCATTTTGTTGTTCTGGAAATTACCAAGAAAGCTTGGGTTAGGCTTGATTAGAAAATGTGAAAAAAAATAGCAGCTAATTGGAATTCCACATGAACAGGGGACTTATGAACAGAAAATATATATACCCAACAAGGGATAAATATGCATTTTATTATCTTGGAAATTCCCTATAATTCACCAGTTTTACTGTCATGTAAAAGTGATAGCAGCTGCTCAGATGTGAGTCAGGCTCCGGTAACTTCACCTGATCTTGTCCAGTGGCCCAGGATGGAGTGGGTTCCCATGTGTCTCCAGCCCCTGACCCTGACCCTGACCTTGCCCCTGATCTTAGAGGGCAGCTCGGTTCCCCAAGCTCAAGGGTAGCCTCCCACAACATCTATACATGCCCAGCTGTGGTCAGGCTAGTGGGCTTGAGC